ATTGTCTTCTCCAAATCAACCCAGACCATGTTTGAAAGACCAGATGTTTCAGACCCTTCTTCTTCCCCACCCCCTTCCTCTTTCAAGTGTCTGACATGCGATCCCTCTGCTCTGGATCAAGAGGGTCACTTGAAATGTTGCCAACATATCTGGTTTCTTGACATTGTGATTATGGAGAAATTGATGCCATTTCCATTTCTAACTCTAAGATAAACAGAGGGAAGCAGGGGCTTGGAGACTCAGGTCATGGAAATGTAAGCTGCGTTTCTGGAGCCTACAGTTATAGCTACTTACCTGTGGCTAGTATTTCGGGATAGCTGTCACAGAGTGACTGTTGTTCTCTTAGAGGACCTTGATGGAATTCTCAAAGCCCAGCTATGATTTCTCCGAATATAGTCAATCCAGAGGACCTGTTTGCTTGGGCAATGAAAAAGAAAAATTAATCTGTCATATCCTTCTATTGACAATGGCCAGAATGTGTTGCTAAAATTATATGAAGTAAACAGCTTCGGAACTTGTGTGCTTATGAGAACCATGTGTTCTTAGGCACCAGTTGTTGGTTCTGCAGGGAATTCTGTCACACAGAGCTGGTGAAATGGCCATGCACAACAGAACCCAAAGTGCCACTCACAACTGGGGTTGCTTGTGTCCTACAGATACTTTGTAGACTGAGGTCCAAATGATTGTGGCTTGTATGAGCTGATAATACACTGCCTTTCTCAAATGATCATTTTATGTTTAGCAATTTAGCTTTGATAGGTTGACAAGTGGCTAACAATAGATAAAGTTACCCAACATGCTGATTTACAACCCTAATTTTAATATTTTTTTTAAAAAAGGGGTGGAGTCAGTCTGATTCAATCCTTTCCTTATCTAGACAAAACCAAGAGGAGAAAAATGATTTTAAAAAATCTTTAAATGTGGCTGGTGACACAGTGGAACGAAATCACACTTTCTTTGACTCTTCTTGGATGATCTTTTTCTTCACAGTTTTCTGTTCATTCCCTCACATTTATACAATACAATTACATCATTTTCTTATTAACTGGTGAAGCTAACTCCTATATCACTATTACATGTAATCACACAAATCGTAGTGTTCATATGAGTCGAAGGATCTCGTTTTCATTGTCTTAAGTGGCCAGTTTGCCTTAGCTGAGAAGGAGCTAACTCCTAGGCCTCACCACTTCACTCTTCCATTCCATCCTACACAGACCTGCATCCTGAGTATCCTTAGATAACACAGTCACATAGACTGCATTCTGAGTACCATTAGATAACACAGTCACACAGACCTGCATCCTGAGTACCATTAGATAACACATTCACACAGACTGCATCCTGAGTATCCTTAGATAACACAGTCACACAGACTGCATCCTGAGTACCATTAGATAACACAGTCACACAGACTGCATCCTGAGTATCCTTAGATAACACATTCACACAGACTGCATCCTGAGTATCCTTAGATAACACAGTCACACAGACTGCATCCTGAGTACCATTAGATAACACATTCACACAGACTGCATCCTGAGTATCCTTAGATAACACATTCACACAGACTGCATCCTGAGTATCCTTAGATAACACAGTCACACAGACCTGCATCCTGAGTATCCTTAGATAACACAATCACACAGACCTGCATCCTGAGTACCATTAGATAACACATTCACACAGACTGCATCCTGAGTATCCTTAGATAACACAGTCACACAGACTGCATCCTGAGTATCCTTAGATAACACAGTCACACAGACTGCATCCTGAGTATCCTTAGATAACACAGTCACACAGACTGCATCCTGAGTACCATTAGATAACACATTCACACAGACTGCATCCTGAGTATCCTTAGATAACACAGTCACACAGACTGCATCCTGAGTACCATTAGATAACACATTCACACAGACTGCATCCTGAGTACCATTAGATAACACAGTCACACAGACTGCATCCTGAGTACCATTAGATAACACATTCATACAGACTGCATCCTGAGTATCCTTAGATAACACAGTCACACAGACTGCATCCTGAGTACCATTAGATAACACATTCACACAGACTGCATCCTGAGTATCCTTAGATAACACAGTCACACAGACTGCATCCTGAGTATCCTTAGATAACACATTCATACAGACTGCATTCTGAGTATCCTTAGATAACACAGTCACACAGACTGCATCCTGAGTACCATTAGATAACACATTCATACAGACTGCATCCTGAGTATCCTTAGATAACACAGTCACACAGACTGCATCCTGAGTACCATTAGATAACACATTCACACAGACCTGCATCCTGAGTACCATTAGATAACACAGTCACATACAGACTGCATCCTGAGTATCCTTAGATAACACATTTGTTAAAATTTCTCCCCAGCAGTTCTCAAGAACGGAGAGCCGGACAGAAACTAGCCTGTAGGACTTAGGTGTCTAAAAATAACGATCATCTTTTCTGTGAAAAGCAGGACTCTGCCCAGTTCGACTGGTCTTTGCTGGGGACAAAGAGCAGGGAAGAAGTGTGGTGAGAATTCTGGGTCTTATATTTCAGGGAATCCCGACCATGAAGTAAAGGAGAGAGAGAAATTGATGGGGATTTAGAAAACAAATAGGGATCTTGAACTGAAATTCAAAGGAACTGGGAAGCCCAGGTCTTCTGACAGTGTACATTAAAAGATGGGAGTGGACCTTAAAGAAGTCAGGGGTGGGTGGGTGGGTGTTTCTCTACAAAGTAGGATTAGTATGGTTTCCATCATCTAGGTTAGGCTCGACTGACAGATTGACAAATGCCGCAGTTAGGAGCAGATCAGAAGAAATTCATCGCACACTGGTAGAGCTACCGACAACATTGTTGTATTGGGTTGTAGAACGGCATTACACATTACAACTCAGTCTGGCAGTGGGTACAGCTACTGAACATGGAATGAGAGTGGAGATCACTAATGTCTATTCTTAGAGTGCTATTGCACTGGCTTGTCACAACTGAGGTTGGAGAAGAGAGCTGGAGTAGAGAAATTCTTCCCCTATGATGTAAGATAGAGATCTTCAGGTGGGTGTCAGTGAGCTTTAAGTTCTGTAACCCAGCTTGTGAAAATGTAAAATAACTTCTGTCATAGGCAATAAAAGTTCATGGCCAGCTCAAAATTCAGTCTTGTGACTTTAGTTGATAGCAGTGGTTCTGAAAACTAGGTGTCTTTATTTATTTATTTTCGAGACAGGGTTTCTCTGTATCTTTGGTGCCTGTTCTGGAACTAGCTCTTATAGACCAGGCTGGCCTCGAACTCACAGAGATCCGCCTGCCTCTGCCTCCCGAGGTGTCTTTATTTTTGTTTTGTTTTTAATTAGGACTTCTTCCCTTGGGTCACAGAAGGACATGGTATATACTGGTGTGATCGCTCGCCACCCTTAGTTACTTAATTCCTCTGTCAGGGACACTTTTGTTGCCTTCACTCAGTCTTGGAACCCAGAAAAGATGGAAGTATGTGTGTTTGGAATCTCTGTCTAATTCAGTTCCATCCATCAACATCATGTGAGCATGTATCTTAGTGTTCTTACGAGTTCAAGGATCTCCTATTTAGCATGTCATTTAGACAACCATATTGTTGAGAGTTCATGGATAAAGCTTCCCTTTCATAGCCAGATGTTACTATCCAGCTGCAAGTATCTGGTCCTCTGGCTCATACAGTGTCTCACCACACCCTCGATGTTCCCTGAGCCATATTGTAGATGTGTCATACCCCAAAGTCAGTTGTTCCATAATACTTTCCATCTAGTACAAAAACACACTTCTCTGATGAGGACTGAGAGATACCCTTTCCTTTGGGTACAAGGTTATGTATGCATTTAGACTACAGTTCAGTATTATACCGCTTTAGGAAAGTGGCTATAGTCTACTCTTCTCTAGCTGTTGATACTTGTTTGGTTCAAGTCCAAGTAGACAGCTGCTCCTCACCCATATAAAAGTACCACAATTGTGCCATAGCAGCTGGCTCACCAGGCTGGTCATTGTCAAATCTAGATTTACAGTTGGCCAAGCCTGTTGACTGTTTTTCTGCCTTGGCAGCCTTCATAACCTCTCTGGGTAGGTACTATGAGAGGTAGTCCTCAGGGTGGAGGTGTCCAGGTAAGTTCCGGAATGTGCTGACCTTTTGATCCTGAGCAAATTCTGAAAACTTCTTGGGTTTCAGTGAAATCATCTTTAAAGAACAGAGAACGAGCTGGGCAGTGGTGGTGGCGCACACCTTTCATGCCAGTGCTCGGAGGCAGAGGCAGGTGGATCTCTGTGAGTTTGAGGCCAACCTGGTCTACAGAGTGAGTTCCAGGACCTCCAGGGCTACACAAAGAAACCCTCTCTTATAACACACACACACACACACACACACACACACACACCACAAAAAAAAAAAAGAAAGAGAGAGAGAGAGAGAACAGTGTGATAGTGCTGCCTGCTTCGTGAGTGTTTTGTGCGGTTTTGTAAGATTTTAATTCAATAGTAAGAAATAAAGAATACTGCTTCAGGGATTCAATAAATATTTTTAGTTGCTTTGATTGTATTTTCATGATATAAAATAATATTTTAATTGTAATTCCTAAACTCTTTCGCATATTTATTCGCTTTCCAGTCTCTGCCCTTTGAACTCTGCCGGTGTTTGAGGTATTCTGGGCACACAATGGGCAAAACGTAAATTCATGAGTTTTGTGCCTTTCAGTGTTTGTAGTCTCTAGCAAGTTGTATTCGCTTCTTCTCCTTTCCTGACAAAAGCAATGAGAGCATAAAGTATACTGTGCACAGGCTTGCAGGCTCCATTTACATACTTGATGCCTTTGTTGGCTGAACAATGTGAAACCCATAAAAGATTTGTTTGAGAGTTACATCAACAAGAGTGTTAAGTGGAATTAAAAAGTGTGGTTTATTGAATTTTTAAAATTTTTTCAAATTCATAATAATAGCTTCCCCCTTTTTCCCCCCCTTAACAGATGGGCTTAGGTCATGAGCAAGGATTTGGAGCCCCCTGTCTGAAATGCAAAGAGAACTGTGAAGGGTTTGAACTGCACTTCTGGAGGTGAGTTCTTGAAACCTACCGTAGTATCATCAGCGTTTTCTCCTGTCGGGCAGTACCCCTTGGACAGCGTGTGTGCACTGTTACAAACTCTTGACAAGCTGCTTAGTTGCGGGGCTTCTGTTTTCTAAAAAGTTAGTAAAAGTGAGACTGTTCTACGTTCATGTCATGAAGTACAACAGAGTGGGTTGGGCGATAACGATCATAGGAAGAGTTGCTTGATTTCTTCCTCCCCACCATCTCCATGGAATATGCCCTTTCTGAGTGGCAGAGGAGTTTGTGGTAATCCCTCTGAGGACTGCTAATTAACTTGGTACTAATAGTCAACTCTGCATGGCTCAGCCTGCCTCTGCAGGCCGATCAGTGTGCATCAGTTGTGGGCTCATATTCTCGTTGTCAGGAAGTAACACTTAAGTTTGTTCTGAAAACCTTCTCTCGGGTCAATTTGTTACTGAGAATCTTTCAGGAACTTGAGCCTTTTAAAAGAAGTTGCCAATTTTTGAGTGATGCTCATGTACCCAAAGGACAGAAGTACAGGATCAAAACTGATACTTTGAATAGATCTTATTTGTAGCCTGTAAATCTAAAAATGGAAGCATGCTCTTTCAAAGAATATCAGAGTTCTTCCACATGCCTGCTGGAAGTTAGAGGCAGCATAATATTATCAAGAAAAATATAAATCAGTTATCGGTAGATAATGGTTGCCCTGAGGCAATGTTTTCTTTTGAAATTCTGAGAATTTTCTTCATCTATTCTTCCATTGAAGGGCATCTAGGTTGTTTCCAGGTTCTGGCTATTACAAACAATGCTGCTATGAACATAGTAGAGCATATGCTTTTGTTGTATGATAGGGCCTCTCTTGGGTATATTCCCAAGAGTGATATTGCTGGGTCCAGGGGTAGGTTGATCCCGAATTTCCTGAGAAACAGCCACACTGTTTTCCAAAGTTTGGGAATGCACAAGTTTGCATTCCCCCAGCAATGGATGAGTGTACCCCTTTCTCCACAACCTCTCCAGCAAAGGCTATCATTGGTGTTTTTGATTTTAGCCATTCTGACAGGTGTAAGATGGTATCTTAAAGTTGTCTTGATTTGCATTTCCCTGATCGCTAAGGAAGTTGAGCATGACCTTAAGTGTCTTTTGGCCATTTGAACTTCTTCTGTGGAGAATTCTCTGTTCAGCTCAGTGCCGCATTTTATAATTGGGTTGATTAGCCATTTACGATCTAGTTTCTTGAGTTCTTCATATATTTTGGAGATCAAACCTTTGTCAGTTGCTGGGTTGGTGAAGATCTTCTCCCAGTCAGTGGGTTGCCTTTGTGTCTTAGTGACAGTGTCCTTTGCTTTACAGAAGCTTCTCAGTCTCAGGAGGTCCCATTTGTTCAATGAGGCCCTTAATGTCTGTGCTGCTGGGGTTATATGTAGGAAGTGGTCTCCTGTGCCCATGTGTTGTAGAGTACTTCCCACTTTCTCTTCTATCAAGTTCAGTGTGTTCGGACTGATATTGAGGTCTTTAATCCATTTGGACTTGAGTTTTGTGCATGGTGATAGATATGGATCTATTTTCATTCTTCTACAGGTTGACATCCAGTTTTGCCAGCACAATTTGTTGAAGATGCTCTCTTTTTTCCATTGTATACTTTTAGCTCCTTAATCAAAAATCAGGTGTTCATAGGTTTGTGGGTTAATGTCAGGGTCTTCTATTCGATTCCATTGGTCGACTTCTCTGTTTTTATGCCAATATCAAGCTGTTTTCAATACTGTAGCTCTGTAATAGAGTTTGAAGTCAGGGATGGTAATGCCTCCAGACGATCCTTTATTGTATAAGATTGTTTTGGCTATCCTGGGTTTTTTGTTTTTCCATATAAAGTTGATTATTGTCTTCTCCAGATCTGTGAAGAATTTTGATGGGATTATGATGGGGATTGCATTGAATCTATAGATTGCTTTTGGTAGAATTGCCATTTTTACTATGTTGATCCTTCCAATCCAAGAGCAAGGGAGATCCTTCCATTTTCTGGTGTCCTCTTCAATTTCTTTCTTCAAAGACTTAAAGATCTTTCACTTCCTTGGTCAGAGTTACCCCAAGATATGAAGAAAGTATGGAATATGTACATATTAGAGTACTACTCAGCAGTAAAAAACAAGGACTTTGTGAATTTTGCATGCAAATGAATGGAAATAGAAAACACTATCCTGAGTGAGGTAAGCCAGACCCAAAAAGAGGAACATGGGATGTACTCACTCATATTTGGTTTCTAGCCATAAACAAAGGACATTGAGCCTATAATTAGTGATCCTAGAGAAGCTAAATAAGGAGAACCCAAAGAAAAACATATAGGCATCATCCTGAATATTAACCTTCATCAGGCGATGAAAGGAGACAGAGACAGAGTCCCACATTGGAGCACCAGACTGAAATCTCAAGGTCCAAATCAGGAGCAGAAGGAGAGAGAGCATGAGCAGGGAACTCAGGACCGCGAGGGGTGCACCCACACACTGAGACGATGGGGATGTTCTATGGGGAACTCACCAAGGCCAACTGGCCCGGGTCTGAAAAAGCATCGGATAAAACCGGACTTGCTGAACATAGCAGACAATGAGGACTACTGAGAACTCAAGAACAATGGCAGGCCAGGCGGTGGTGGCGCACGCCTTTAATCCCAGCACTCGGGAGGCAGAGGCAGGTGGATCTCTGTGAGTTTGAGACCAGCCTGGTCTACAAGAGCTAGTTCCAGGACAGGCTCCAAAACCACAGAGAAACCCTGTCTCGAAAAACCAAAAAAAAAAAAAAAAAAAAAAAAGAACAATGGCAATTGGTTTTTGATCCTACTGCACGTACTGGCTTTGTGGGAGCCTAGGCAGTTTGGATGCTCACCTTACTAGACCTGGTTGGAGGTGGGTGGTCCTTGGACTTCCCACAGGGCAGGGAACCCTGATTGCTCTTTGGGCTGATGAGGGAGGGGGACTTGATTGGGGGAGGGTTAGGGAAATGGGAGGCGGTGGCGGGGAAGAGACAGAAATCTTTAATAAATAAATAAATTTAAAAAAAAAGAAAAAGAAATTCTGAGGATTGCACCCAGAGCCTCTTGTACGCAAGGCAAACATTCCCCCACTGAACTGTAGGCCCAGACCATGTTGAACTGACAACTTAATGACTACCTCCATGCCTCGGGTTACCATGCAACACTAGAATAAAAGGTCTCAACATCCATTATGGCTGTATACAGCGTAAGCGGGAGAGGGACATAATAAAATCTGGCATATTTGTCTCCTTTAAAAGCTTGCATATTTAATAAGCTCTAGGAAATAGACAAAAATGTCTGAAAAAGCAATGGCAAGAGAAACTTGACCATTTCCAGAAGTAATGCTTCTGTTCTTTATTTTTGTTGTTTATTTTCAAAGAACTTACTTAGAATTTTCCATTGGGTTTGTAAATTCCAGTCTTAACATAGCTCTCATGTCTGTAGAGACGTACAAAGATAGTATCATTGAACAGAAAATAGTTTCTCAGGATTAGAGGTTATCTCCTCGTACTACTGAAAAGTCAGAAGCACACGTGCTCAGATCTCATCATGAAAGACTCGTGTGTTCTAGCCACACACTTCTTCCCATTTCTGTCGGTGACTAATTGCTCTGTTATACGGTTTGGGGAAGAACAGCAGATGTTTGTTTGTTTTATTCTTTCTGTTTATTGAACCCATGAGTGAGGAACCCGAAGATATCTGGATGGGTGACCATTTTACTTTACTGTCGGCACCACTTTCCTTTGTGACTACTGTTGATTTGCGGAGGGACACATCGCCCCCTGCTGGACACCGTGTTTTCAAGCTTAAAATAATCTTGTCAGCTCTGCCGTTGTGTGGACTGCTCGTGAGATTTGTAAAGCTCCTTCCTAAGAGAGAGTTCCTCCTCTGTAAACCAGACTAGTTCAGAGTAACTTCTTTGTCTGGGTAATTTCTATCCTGCAGGTCGCTATCGTCTGATATTTTCAAATTCTTCAAACATTGGCCAGGCAAGAGCAGACCTTCATGGCATGAAAATCAATTCTTTACCTTTATTACACAGCCCGCTTTGATAAACTGGCCAGAGACTTAGAGTCCAAGCGTCATAAATATTAGAGGTTGGCCTGCAACCCAGCTGGTGCCTGTATGGTCTACCAGATGATATTTCTTAGTAATGCTGTCATTCTCCTGGCAGGGGTCCAGACACATTTCTGTGGTATGATTTCTAATCGGTCCCCAGCTTCCATAACTGGATGACCAGAGGCAGATGCCGTTGACCTATACTAGTTTTCAGTATTTTTAAAATGTATTTTAAAGTACTTATTTATTTATTTATTTATTTAATGTATATGGGTATTTTGCCTGCATGTGTGTCTCTGTCCACCACATGTGTGGCTAATGCCCTCAAAAGCAAAAAGAGGGTATATGATCCTCACAGAAACTGGGGTTGCAGACAATTGTTAGCATCCATGTGGATGCTGGGAACTGATCCTATGCTCTCTGGAAGAACAGCAACTGCTCTTAACCCCTGAGCCATCTCTCTAGCTCCTGTTTGGTACAGTCGTAGTGAAATAGTCCAGACCAGGGGTCCTAAGTGCAAACCAAGATGCTGTCTGCGAACCAGAGGCACGGGGTCTGCAGCCACTGAACCACCTTCATCGTTACTGTCAGGCCTGACATTTAGGATTCAGGTCTGTACCTCTTTCCTAATGCAGCCTCCTCGTAGCCACAGAATGGGATGCTGACAATGGTTTGGTAGTATTGCTGTGGACGTCTTCGTTGTTTAAGAATCCTCTGTGCCCACGGACCTATCCATTTCATCACCTTCTTTGGCCTTTGTTGGCAGACTTCAGCGTCTGGCCCCTACTTGTTTATCCAGTCATCCTCCTTCTTCTGAGCACCATGTACTCCCACCTACTTATTCCATGTTATTTCCCCAAGTTCCATGAATTTCTTTCCACATATGTCCATGCTTAGGGAGATACTACCTCCCAGCACT